TAATGCAAAATAGAGCCTCTTGTGGGCCATAGCTAACGTTACAGTAGGATTTACTGAAAATGTAACCCAGATAGCTTAGCTAAACGTTTTATAAAGTATGATGGCAAACAAGTAACTTTCACACACTCACAGAGCTGAGTGCTCTAGCTCTTCTAGCAAAAGTGCCAAACTTGAGGTTAGTTTTCTCGGTGGAAGGCCGGATGCTATTAAGGTGCTTTCAGACAGGGAGAAGTTGCCATCTTGGCTTTCACTGTTTTCACTGTTACTATGATATCAGTAAGCCAAACTAAAATACAAATGGAGGCTGTATTAATGGTGTCACATTGCTCATATAGCTCTTTGTTTTGCTGTAGGAAATGGATGTATAAGAATACATCATGCGGTTACAGTCGGTAGACAGCAGTAGCCTGGTGTACAAGCTGGTAGGATTGGAAGTAGCTGATGGCAACGTTTTAAAATACAGAACACAAATGATGCAGCAACCGCTCATCGCCTGAAAGCACCTTCATAACATATTCAAATAAACTGAAAATGATCTGTGTGTGGGTGAGGTGGGGGTTGCTTGGACATATGGTTTCATTATTTTGGAAACCTTAACTACAGCCCTTCCTACCTGTGATCCACAACTACATTTCTGTTGTTTGTATCTTTCTGCAGTTCAATAACTTTGAGCAGCTGTGTATCAACTTCACCAACGAGAAGCTGCAGCAGTATTTCAACCACCACATGTTCATCGTGGAGCAGGAGGAGTACAAGACCGAGGGGATAGAGTGGACCTTCATAGACTTCGGTTTGGACTTACAGGCCTGCATAGACCTCATAGAGAAGGTGTGTGTGTGTGTTGGTACTTGTGTTACTCATGTCCTTTGTAAATCGTAATTATCTTTGACATTATACAGGTAGAGCTTAACCAATGGTGTATCAGTTCTATTAGATGGAAGAGGTAGATGTATTGGGTGAAATCTGATGGCATGAACGATTCTGCGAAGACATAATCAAAGATTAATGTGAATATTTTCCAGCCCATGGGCATTCTGTCCATCATGGAGGAGGAGTGTATGTTCCCCAAGGCCACTGACAACAGCTTCAAAACCAAACTCTACGACAACCACTTTGGAAAGTCGCCCAACTTCCAGCGGCCACGGCTGGACAAGAAGCGCAAATATGAGACGCACTTTGAGTTGGTTCACTATGCCGGAGTGGTGAGTGTCAGCTCACCTTGTTCCTGTTGTTACTCATATTAGAGGTGCTTTGCTCAATCGGACGCCAACTGGAATTGGTCAATGTTAATTACAGGTTTGATTGATGGTTCCCAATCAAAACAAATTGTGAAAAAAAGGCAATTATGTTATCATCACTGTTTTTGTTTCCTCATCCATCGCGGCTGACGTATCTTTATCACACAGTTGTGCAACCATCAAAGTAAAATAAAGATGCAGTTTCTGCTTTTGGAGGCTCTAATAGAAAAATGACATCCCGGTATTAGAACATAAAATGGAAATAAAGTGGAGCAGTGTCTAATAAGGCAACAACAACAATGGATGAAACTGCATGTTCTAGCAGATTTGACACGACAAACCAACAACACAGAGTTGGACTGATCTTTGTCATTTACGGTTTCGTGGGGTGTTGTAAGGAGCAGATCCAAAAGAGACATGCAGAGATAGAAAAGGAGACAGAGCTCCTGCCTCCAGAGTAGTGATGCTACTGAGTGTTTTATAGTTATTAATTTATTTTTTTACGGTTTTTGGGTCCAGGAAGTAAGTTTGTGAAGACACCATGGACATGATTTTCTTGTCTTTCTGAGACATAAGTTAATTAAGAGACAAGACTGAGCCGAGCTGCAATCTTAGAGCAAGTTTTCACCAGCTTTTAGTCTCACGTCTCATGTCTTAAGACCCCCAAGTCTGTAAGCCAAAGACAAAAGTCCATGTGAGTGACCAATGAAGATGTCTAGTCTATGCTTATATTGTGAAGGCCATGTTTAGTTAAAATGGACCTAATACATTACAATTTGGCATGGTTTCTAGTATTAGGGATTCAAGGTGAGCACTGATTTTAAATAGTTTTTCTTTGGCAACAAATACATTTATTTCCGATTGATCTTTGTTAAACCAGTAGAAACTTTGCCAATTCCAATTATTGATGAAATGGTTAGTCAGTTGTTATCTAAATCTCAGGCATAGATTATAGTGAGTTTTCCATACTTTTAGCTTGTGGGAGCCTGTTGATCCTGAGGACAAGAGGCCCGAGAATGGAGCCCTGTGGAACTCCACACCATGTTTGTTTGCAGCGATGTGTACCGCTCAACACAAAGGACACGATCGGATAATAGGATTCAAATAGAAGCCTCTGTGTTGAGTTATTGGAGAATGATTTATAAAAATCAATTCACAGTCACAGCTGTTCTGTATGTATTTCTCTGTAGGTGCCGTACAATATCACAGGATGGCTGGACAAGAACAGAGATCCTCTGAATGAGACGGTGGTGGCTCTGTTCCAGAAATCCTCCCACAAACTAATGGCTGGACTGTTTGAGGACTACATCAACTCTGACATTGGTAACTAAACACACTTTAAAGGAAAGAAATATAAGAAAGAAATACAAGTGTGACACTGTGTTTGTGTGTGTTTGGTAAACAAGTATTGTTTGTGCTGTTTTAGCGGGGGATCCAAAGGCTGAAGGAAGACACAGGAAGAGGAAAGCAGCTTCCTTTCAGACAGTTTCACAGTTACACAAGGCGAGTTGGCAGTTGTTCATCTCTTTGACTCTACACCCCTTAAAGACGGACTCCCACTCATTGTCTGTTTGTTTGATTAAATACAGGAGAATCTAAAAAAGCTAATGGCTAACCTCCGCAGCACTCAGCCTCACTTTGTCCGATGCATCATCCCCAATCACACCAAGAGTCCAGGTAACCAAACAACAACAGCAGCGGTACACACATCTGTAGCCTTGCTAGCATCACACACCAGAGAGCCAAATGCTAACAATAATATTAGCAGACTAACAGGCATTAGTATGCAAATGTTAGCATTGTTCCAATAGTTGTCAATGTTTCAATTAGGGTTGCAACCAACAATTAGTTTAATTGTTGATTAATTTGCTCATTATCGTTATTATTGTCTGTCTTAAAATCTCGTTTTGTCTGACCAGCAGTCCAAAACCCAAATATCAGTTTAAACCAAGATGTCATCACCAAAACAAACAGCCTTATAATTTGTTTGTGCAAGCAGCTTATTACGAACAATATTTACACTTGTTGTTGAGTGGCGACCTCTGGTGGCAGTAGTGATCATCACTGGAAGTCCAGGTAGACGAGGGTAGGGGTGGATGGACGGGTCAAACAAACACAGGACTTTCACCCAGGAGGCCGCCGTTGGAGTTATTTGAAATTAATGACAACGTTACTACGTTAAAATGTACATAACCACATCAAGTACTACATAACAAACATACTTATTTTAACCCAAACCGTGACCTTTTGCCAACATAACCAAGTAGTTTTGTTCCACAGCGTGTTTAAACATTGACCGTTTCAGAACAAAGTAGAGCGGTCCTATATGCCGTTTTGGGAGTCATTGCCAAACAACCAGTTCTGATGTTTAGGTTTGAGGACGTGTTGGTTTAAAACCCCTTAAAACAGAAAAGATGCACTTCAGAGAAACTGAAACCAGAGAATAATTATTAAACATTATTACCGGGCAATTTACTTTGACCATTGTTGATTAATTGAGTGGATTTGCTAATATTAACTAACTTACACCCAATAAAGACAAATAAAGTATCTCTCAATGTCACACATGCAAAGTAAAACTAATGCAACATCAATGTGTCCCATGAAAATGAAGGACAGCAGATTGAATCTAAAATATCAAAACATTCTCGACACTGTCCTTACTACATCCGTCCTCCAGGTGTGATGGATGCCTTCCTGGTCCTCCACCAGCTGAGGTGTAACGGAGTCCTCGAGGGGATCCGGATTTGCAGGAAGGGCTTTCCAAACCGCATCCTGTATGCTGAGTTCAAACAACGGTCGGTCTCAAACCCAACAGCACAGAGCCACACAAGCTAATATTTCAGTTGTGTTACTGAGTTTTTACTCTTTCCAAGAATGTTTTAAACCGGTACTCTCCAGTAATCCATGTGGACTTTTCTTTCTCAGTTATCGCATCTTGAATCCTGCTGCAATTCCAGAGGACTCGTTTGTGGACAGCAGGAAGGCTGTGGAGAAACTGCTGGGCTCTCTGGACATCGACCACAGCCAGTACAAGTTTGGACACAATAAGGTACAGATACTGTGAATAACACTACCAGGGTCTCAGGGGCCATATGCTGTACTGATTGTAATGCCCTCTGAAGCAAATGCAAAAGTTGTAAGTTAGGACAGAGCTACTGTTCACACCCCTGACTTCTGTTTGGAGCGATGAGATGAAGAGGATCTTCTCCGTCCTCGCAGGTGTTTTTCAAGGCGGGGCTGTTGGGTCTGTTGGAGGACATGAGGGACATCCGTCTGGCTGAGATCCTCACCATCGTTCAGGCCATGGCCAGAGGGAAGCTGATGAGGATGCATCGGAAAAAAATGGCGCTGCAAAGGTCAATATGACAACCACCTCATGAATTAATAATAACAGCAAAATGTCTGCTGGAAAGAAGGAAAAACTGACTTTGGAAAAAGGATATTTGTTTTGTGGGTAAAAGCTTTTAATTCTTCCTCTCAGGGACGCTGTATTGGTGATCCAGTTCAACATCAGAGCGTTCTTCATCGTGAGGACTTGGCCGTGGATGATGCTCTTCTATAAGATCCGCCCAATGCTGAGGAGCGCCCAGATGGAGAAAGAACTGGCTGCTCTCAAAGAAGAGTTCAAGAAGTTAAAAGAGGCCTTCGACAGGTCTGTTCACCTGTCAGCTGTTTAGAGTCTCTTTACGTCACTATTTACACATTTCAATCCGGGCTGACAAAGTAAAATGAACTACATGCAGGCAGAGATATTCATTGACATGGTACGTCTGCTGCTCTGTTGGTTAGTTGTGTCTTTCTCCGTCAGGTCAGAGGCCAAGCGTTGGGAGGCGGAGGAGCGGCAGGTGGTTTTGGTTCAGGAGAAGAACGACTTGGCTCTTCAGCTTCAAGCTGTAAGTCTCACTGAACGTTCAAGGAACCATCCTGGTCCGCAGCTGTGATCTAGTTCTAGATAAACTAATGTTAATGCAGTTGTTAAAGCAGGCAGAACACATAACAATCGGCGGATTATCGGATGTACAAGACTTCTAGCTTCTTTAGAAAAGTCTCTATCAGTGGGTTATCTTCTTTCTCTTTCTTTGGGTAGAGACACAGAACAGGGCTGGTCTTTATCGCACCACGTACTGAATAATAGAACAACAATAGATTCAGGAGGTATGCGTGTCTCTTTCACAGTCAAAGTTAACTCAAGAGTTAGAAAAAGTCCCTTCATTGGATGCAGGTTTTAAATATTTGAGAATTAATATTATGCAGAAATGAAACAGCTTGTTTCAGTTGAATAGCATGTTTTTGTTAATCAATGGGACGCATCATGTGTGTGACATGTCTGCTAGCTCTGCCTGAGTAGTTTGTTTGCAGTTTGCTGTCCAACAAAGAAACATGTATCTCCACCATTGTTGCCTTTGTTATTCAGATACAATGAAGGATTATCTTTTGCTGATGGGTGAAGAAAATAATCTTTTTTCTGAAACTAAATGAATATTTGAAACAGCTCTATTGTTCCAATACTAACAACAGGCCTGTTAACATGTTGAGGATGAATGCAAGAGACAGAGATGAAAAGGTCTCTTTGCATCCAGTAGAGCTGTAGGTCCAGGACGCATTAGCCTAGCTTAGCACAAAGACTGAAAGCAGATGGAAACTGCTAGCCTAGCTCCATCAAGTTAAGTAAAAGAAACATATTGCATGTAAACCAAAATGTCATATCTGCAATTTGAAAAAAGTGGGATTACAATCACTTCTTTCTCAAAAGACAAACTTATCTCTAAAATATAAGATTTGATCTAAGCTACTTATTTTAGAGAGCTATTCTCTTGTGAACTCATTATTGTCTTTAATATCTCTAAAATGTGTTTTCTTAACATTTGAATCATCCAGGAGCAGGACAACCTGACAGACGCAGAGGAGCGCTGCAACCAGCTGATTCAGTCCAAAATCTCTCTGGAGTCGAAGCTGAAGGAGATGCAGGAACGTCTGGAGGACGAGGAGGAGTTGACGGCCTCGCTGACGTCCAAGAAACGTCAGCTGGAGGAGGAGGTGGTCTCACTGAAGAAAGATGTGGACGACCTGGAGATGACTCTGGCTAAAGTGGAGAAAGAGAGACATGGAGTCGAAAACAAGGTGCATTAACCAACAGCTTTGTATCACTGCAGGGTTCCTTCACTCTACAATGTGTTCTCTTTTAGTTCTGTTTTTGGTTGAGAGCTTTAGGCTGGTGACGCGGTGGAACTGATAAGTTGAATATTGTTTTTTTTCTTCCATCCAGGTGAAGAACCTGTCCCATGAGATGTGTGTTCTGGATGAATCGATAGCATCTCTGACCAGAGAGAAAGCCGCCCTGCAGGAGGCTCACCAGCAGGCTCTCACTGACCTGCAGGCGCAGGAGGACAAGGTCAACATGCTGGTCAAGGTGAAATCGAGGCTGGAGCAGCAAGTGGACGATGTAAGAAAATACATACACATATCACACTCAACAACCTTCCTTCCCTGCTTTTCCAGTTTTGCAATATAAGCGAAAATAGAAAAGACCTGAAGTGTCAAAACTTAAACATAAGGATAAACAAACACACTGGACGATCCGTCTGTGAATGTAAATCTGCATCAGCTAACATGTCCGTCTGTCTTTCTACTTTGCCATTCTACTTTTGTGGAACATAATTAATGAAAGGGAAAAAGGTTTCAGTAATCCAGCTCATAGATTCTCTACGTTTGTGGACTGCTACTGAAATGATGGACGACATTCTTCCAAAGGAAATTCCTCCATTTAGTGTTTTGATAAAAGAGGTAAAGAGTGCTTCCTAAAATGTCCCTCCAAAATGCCCCATAGGTGTTCAGTTGCATAAGAATTCCTAAAATCTCCTCAAGGCGAACTAGAGCTTCCCAAAGGACCACAAGAACCACCTGAAGGAACTTCCTCAGTGACCCAATGACCACTTAAGAAGAAACTTTGGAGCCTATTTAGTGACATAAGAACCATCTAAAGAGCCTCATCAGTACCACCTGTAGGATCTCTTGAATCTCCTCAATTAAACTAGAACATCCTGTAGGACCAGTAGACCCCTAGACAACCTAAAGCCCTTTAAACCCATAAAACCTCCTCAGTGGCCACAAGTACCACCTAACGGACCTTTGCAGCCTCTATTTGATCACTAGAACGTCCTAAAGAACTACCAGAACCTCCAAAATGGCCACTACAATCACCTAAAAGACACCATCTCTAGACAATCTAAAGCCCTTTTAACCATTAGAAACTCTCCAGTGACCATAAGGACCACCCAACGGACATTCGCAGCCTCTTTATGACCACTAGAACCTCCTAAGCTAGAAACACTTGAAAGACCACAAAACTCCTTCGAACCCCCTTTAAGGTTCTGGTATGCCATGAGATCAAAGTACTCTGTTCTGAGTTTGTCTCCATTTCTTGACAGCCTTCCCACTCTCTTCTCTACAGGTGGAGACTTCCTTGGAGCTGGAGAAGAAGGTGCGTTTGGAACTGGAACGAATCAAACGGAAGCTGGAGGGGGATCTGAAGCTGTCCATGGACTCGGTGAAAGACCTGGAGAAACAGAAGGACGAGCTGGAGGAGAGACTGAAAAAGTAAGAAAACACGTCTGGAGCTGGTAGTTATCAACTTTAATCGAGCGATGATTTTCATTTAATTTCTCCACAACGACAAAGCTCAACAAAAAAAGTCTAGAATTAACATGTAAAACTGAAAACTCAAAAACATTTTGTAGCATTAAGATCACTTCCTTTCTCTTTCCATCTCTCTATACCTCCCTAAAGAAAAGACTTTGAGTCGGGTCAGCTTCAATCTAAACTGGAGGATGAACAGAGCGTGCTTACTCATCTTCAGAAGAAGATCAAAGAGCTTCAGGTTGGTCCGACTGATCCAGAATAGAACCTGTAACCAGCTTCCTGATCTTCCCCTTCATCACTTCATGTATATCATTTATCGCTCCCCTCAGACTCGTATCGAGGAGCTGGAGGAGGCGCTGGATGCGGAGCGAGCATGGCGTTCCAAAGCCGAACGTCAGAGGAACGACATCACCAGAGAGCTGGAGGAGCTCGGGGAGAAACTGGAGGAGGCAGGAGGATCCTCTGCTGCTCAGATCGCTCTCAACAGGTCATCATCAGCATTAAAGCTGATACGTTACAACACGTTGTAATTGTAATGACTTTGGTTATCTGAAGGTGTGTTTACTTAAAACATAGTGGTGTACAAATTTACTATAAAATACTAAATTGACGTCAAACAGGAAGAGGGAGGCGGACTTCTTGAAGATGCGGCGGGAGCTGGACGAGGCAGGGCTTCACCACGAGGCGACGGCCGCCACTCTCAGGAAGAAGCACTCGGACACGGTGGTGGAGCTCGGCGAGCAGATTGACGCTCTGCAACGAACCAAACAGAAACTGGAGAAGGAGAAGGTCGAGTTCAGGCTGGAGGCCGACGACCTAGCTGCTAACGTGGAGCAGCTATCCAGGAACAAGGTAAGTCCACCTTAAAAAGAAAACTCCAGTGAAGTGTCTTAAAGCTGCATTCTCTCTAGTGTCCACCAGGGGGCGACTCCTCTGGTTGTATAGAAGTCTATGAGAAAATGACTACTTCTCTCTTGATTTATTACCTCAGTAAACCAACTTTCAAAGGAATAAATGGGGCGTCCCTTCATGACTGGAAAACACCTTCATTTTTTTAACTCCAATCCTCTAGTTCAGAGGTCTTCAACAGGGGGTCCGCGGGGGTATGTTTTTTCTCTAAACATGAATGTGTCCATTATTTTAATAGTTCAGTATTGTATGCAAGATAACAGGTATGTTTATGCATGGCAGTGGCACTAATAGGCCATCACTCATTTTTCGTTTCCACATTTATGTTTAAAATGAAAATATCTATTTGCATATCTTGTATGATGATTATCATGCAATTGACAGACAATGTCGATATTGGCATTGGTATCAGCTGACAAGGTATGTTTATAAATGGCAGTGCCACGGCCCCCCTACTCACTGTACCTTGCACATGTTTAAAATAAAAACATGAATATATGAACCTGTGTATTATTTGAATAGCTTAGTATTGAATGCACAATAAAGAGGTATGTTTATACATGGCACGAGGCCCAGTTTAATGTAAAACACAATTTTATACAATATATATAGTCGGGGTCCCTGCTCCATCACTCTATTAGTTTGGGGGTCCTTGGCCTGAAAAACGTTGAAGGCCCCTGCTCTAGTTTGTAATGCAGCTTCGTCTGGTGGCATCACTATGGCTCTGGACCAGATTCAATCGTCAGTTGATATGGCTTCTTGTATGTATGTGTGTGTGTGTCTGTGTGTGTGTGTGTGTGTGTGTGTGTAGGGAGCAGTGGAGAAGATGTGCAGGGTTTATGAGGACCAGCTGAATGAAACCAGAAGCAAAGCAGAGGAGCTGCAGAGACAGCTGACCGACGTTTCTGCTCAGAAAGCACGAGCGCTCACAGAAACTGGTACAACACGCACACACATGCATACACACAGATATAGTCCTTTATCATATAATAATAAAGAGAATGATGTCTCGATTATCTACTGACATTTTGTCGATGTGCACATGATTATTCCAGCCTGTATTTCAACTATCAACACAAAGCATGAACACATCTGAATTCATTTTAAGTGTAAAGAATGTGTCTTAAATGTAATTCTCAGTTCATAAAACCTAATGAAGGCGGCCGGACTAACCCACTTTAAAACTTCTTCTCTGTGTCGTTGTTCTTTTAGCCGAGTACAGCCGCCGTCTGGAGGAGCGGGACGCTATGATTGGTCAGCTCCAGCGCTCCAAAGCCGGGGTTTTCCAGAACTCCGAAGACCTGAAGAGGCAGCTGGAGGAGGAGAGCAAAGTACCACTGAACCTTTAGAACTCCGATCCATCATTTCAATACTCAGCCTCATGGTTGTCCTAACTATGTTTAGTCAAAGTAAATACATGCGTGACCGTGTGTGTGTTTCAGGCTCGTGTGGCGCTGGCTCACGCGGTGCAGGCGTCCCGTCACGACAGCAGTCTGCTCAGAGAGCAGCTGGAGGAGGAGCAGGAGTCCAAAGCTGAGCTGCAGAGGGAGCTCTCCAAAGCCAACGGCCAGGTGGTCCAGTGGAGAGCCAAGTACGAGACCGACGCTGTGCTGAGAATAGAGGAGCTGGAGGACGCAAAGTAAGAAACTGTAATGGTGGTATCAATATATGTTATAGGCGCATGTCACAACCCCACACTCACAGAGATGCACACGTCCTTCTGGACCGGCCGGCAGGATGACATGTGATGAACAGAAATACTGAGAGCGTCATCATCAGTTAACATTTCACTGCACTCAGGCACATATCTCCCCATCTTAAGTAGCATTTAGCTTGAGACAAGTGCATATGCACACTTACAAAGAATGTTATAAAGGATAAATGTATCCTATATATATATATCCTATATCCTTGAGTGTACAAGTCTTGATTTCATCTCTTATCGACTCCCGAATTTGCTCTACATCTGCCACAAAACCTGCTCCTGCTCCAGCTATGACTATCACTGCTGCTGCTTCTGGAAGGACTGGATTCTCATGAATGTATTCATGATCCCCAGCGACCATCAGGCTTTTCTACATAACTCACAAAATATCAGACTCTATAACCGTCTTTACCAGCTGCATAACTGGTCGCTTCAAGTATTTCTTTTTCTAATTGTGCAGCTAAGTACATTTTTTTGTCTTAACTGCTCGATAACTGTTTATCTCATGCCATTTGTTTGTAGAAAAAAGTTGGTCGTCAAACTGCAGACGGTTGAGGAAGCTGTAGAGACGTCTCAGGCCAAATGTTCCTCACTGGAGAAAACCAAAGTGTGTCTGCAGACAGAGATTGAAGACCTGTTGGTTGAACTGGAACGAACCAACGCTGCTGCTCTGGCTCTGGACAAGAGGCAACGCAACTTCGACAAGGTCAGCGACACCAGCCGACTCTAATCAGTCGTAAACGATGCAATGTAAAAAATAATCTCAGCAACAAGTTTGTGTTTTCTTTTGTTTGTTTGATGCAGTTGTTGAGCGACTGGAAGCTGAAGTTTGAGGAGAGTGAGACGGACCTGGAGGCCTCGCAGAGAGAGTCCCGCAGTCTGAGCACTGAGCTCTTCAAACTGAAGAACTGCTATGAAGAAGCTCTGGACCATCTGGAGACGGTTAAACGAGAAAACAAGAACCTGCAAGGTATCTCGTCTTTGTTGTCTTTCTTCTTCACCCGGAGGAGCCACATGGATAGCTTTAGTTCTGTGGACGTGGTCCTGCAAGGTCAAGTCTTTAAGTTGGGCTCTCAGAATGTGGACGATATGCTGATGTGAATGAAGGTTTCTATAACTAGAAAACTAAAGTATGTTTGTACCTACAATAGTAACCAAAATATATTGTATTGTATTGTATCAGCTGGGGGATTACAGGTTACGTCAGCGGTTATGTCTGATTCAGGAAATCCGTCAACAAAACAATAAAAAGCAGTTCGCTGTCGGGTCGCAGCCAACAACAAACGTGTATTACTGACATCCTTCGTTAAACATTTAGTTAAAAGACTTAAACCAAACAAGATGAGAAACTATCTAAACAATCTTTTGACACTGTTCTTTATTCATCTTTCAGGAATCAAAACCAGAACAAAGAACTTTACACCATCTCATTGCTTGAAACAGAAACATTGAAGTAGTTTTAAAATGACATCAAACCAAAGCAACAGTCTAAAACACTTTGATTAACCTCTCATAGCAGACTTGATACCACACTCTCAGAAATAAAGTTGCTAAATAGAACCATATAGGGTTCTTTGGTTTGTCCTCGTAGGGAACCCTGTTTGGATCCTGGTAGTACCTTTTGTAAAGGTTCCACTTGGGACCCTTTCAGATTTCAGGTTCTACACATAACCCAATATAAATGGTTATACCTAGAACCATACGTTAAGGGTTCCACCCAGAGCCCCCTATGAGAGCTTTCACCGAGAACCTTTGTATGGTATAATGGTTCCACAAAGCAACAATCCACCAGAAGGTTGTTCCAAAAAACTTTCTATATCCCAAGAGTTTTATGTAGTTGCAGCGCAACCCAGAACGATTATGGTTCACAATCACAGTTTTTCGGGGCTTGTGTTTCTGGATTGTGGGCGTGTCCTTTTAACACCTTGAAGTACTCTTTCTTCCTAAAAGTTTTTTTTCGGGGATGAAAAGGGTTCTTATTGGGACCCTTAGTGTCACAAGTAACCCTCGAAAAATGGTTTATTCAGAAAAGGGTTATTCAGAAGTAAATGGTTCTGGGTAGAACCTCAGCTCTTTAGCAAGAACCCCGTTGGGAACCCTAGCTTCAAAGAGTGCCAAACATCTTGCTATACGTGACTGTTATGGACCTGAGTTCATATTGCGATTGAGCGACTGTGTTTGTCTCCAGAGGAGATACTGGACCTGACGGATCAGATCGGTCAGGGAGGAAAGACCATCTACGAGCTGGAGAGGATGAAGAAGCTCCTGGATGTGGAGAAGAGCGATATCAGAGCAGCTCTGGAGGAAGCAGAGGTAACTAACTTACCTGCTGTAGATACTCGTCAACTGTCAAACAACTCAACTGTTCACTAAACAACTCTCCACCCACCAGGGAACTCTGGAGCACGAGGAGAGCAAGACCTTGAAATTTCAGATGGAGCTGCACCAGATAAGGACTGAGATCGAGCGCAAGATTGCAGAGAAAGATGAAGAGATCGAGAACCTCAGGTACCAGATATATTGATAATAGTCAATCAGGAATCAGAATAGTAGAAAACATATTGTAAAATATGCAGTAGACCTGCAGAAAAACTATGCATAAAGCGTGAATCAGCGTAGTAATACCAGTGCTGTCCACCAGGCGGGGCCACCAGCGCTCCCTGGATACCATGCAGACCAGTTTGGAGGCGGAGGTTCGCAGTCGCAGTGAGGCGGTGCGTCTGAAGAAGAAGATGGAGTCCGACCTGAACGAGATGGAGGTTCAGCTGGGACATGCCAACAGACAGGCAGCCGAGAGCCAGAGGGCCATCAGACACCTGCAGACACAGGTAGCCTCATCTGATCAGAATTCATCCAAGATATCAAGACAATAAACTCCTCAATCTCAGGGTGGGAAGGCTGAATACAATACTGAAGGTTACATATCTATTCAAGTCTCCCGAGTATCGAGGAGACTACAGGAACCCTTCCCTCAGATTGTTGAACTGCTGTTTTAAATAAGGGGCAGTGGAGGTAATGGAGGTATCCCATTCAGAGAAGGTTGTCCACAGCTGATTCAAATAAGGTGGATTTCATTCCGTGGCTCGAGCATTGGATCAACTTCTCACAGATCATTTCAAAACACCCAGGAAGATGACCTTGTTCGGGAACATTAGGTGTATAAAATTAATAACTGTTAAAAAACGTTCAAAGTTACTAAAAGAAAGCTTCATTTAGTGTTGATTCTGTCGCCCCCTGTGGACTAAAGTGGTAGTGTCTATGAGCGCCAGAGTCCCTTTAGAAAACCTCTCATTTTACTGCAGCAGGGTCTGACAGTCTGACCCTCTCAGTCCTGGTTCTGGTTCTCCCGTGCGTCCCTTCCCTCCAGCGGGTCCAGCAATACGTCCTGGGTCTCCAGCAGAGAGGAGAAACTCTGCTCCAGGAGGAGGAGGAGACGCTGCTGCTGCTGCCGGGAGCTGAGCTCTCCTCCTCCCTCCGGAGCGCTGACTGCAGGTCCAAGGCTGCAGGTGAAGCCGGATCTGGGTCCGTCTGCGATGTGGCAGAATGTCTTAACAGGTCTCACTGGGTTCTGTCCTCTCACAGGTTAAAGAGCAACAGGTGGATTTGGAGGACAAAGTCCAGTTGGCCAATCAGCTCAAAGAACAGATCCTCCTGTTGGACCGACGTTGTTTACTGATGATGGCTGAGGAGGAGGAGCTGCGTGGGATTCTGGAACAAACCGACCGCGGACGCAAGATGGCCGAACACGAGCTGGTGGAGGTCACGGAGAGACTGAACCTGTTCACCACACAGGTACACACACACACACACACACACACAAATGTATTGATTACCTGACCAATCAAGACACTGAATACTGCCTGAGTGATCGATGGATTCACTGACTGACTGATTTAGCCATTGATGGACTGACTCATTGAGTGATTGATGGACTGACTCATTGATTGAGTGATTGATGGACTGA